GTGTATAACATAAAATATTAAGCCATTTGGGCAAGAATTTAGTATTAATACGATATTAATTAATCCCCACGACAATAATGTCCAGGGATTCAACATACCTGAAAAAAGACTACTATGATAAAATTACTGCTTAACACATAATTTACACATTACTAGTTTAACCGAAACTAAAATTTCCAATACAGCACCCACTAAGTTTTGGAATTCTTCACACTACACCTACTTCTGGTCTAACTTACCAGAATCCAAAGAGGGCACATGCATCATGGTTTATAACAATATTCAACCTCACATACATAATATTATAACCCATCCTGAAGGAGCTATCGCAGTAGACCTTTATTTTAAATATGACTACAAACTTAGAATCATTTCGGTATACCTCTTTTCTACGAACACAACTGCCCATAAACTTACACAAAACAAAGTCATAACATAGATCCAACAGGCTAAACTGGCCAATCTTTACCCTATTGTACTTGGAGACTTTAATACAAACAATAACACTACAGTATCATCAGCCGTCAAATTTCAACTACTTAATTACCTACATAACACAAACATGTACAACTTAGCTAACTATACAAGCAACTTACAAAATACCTGGTATAGCATCAGATATCACACTCGAATTGACTATATATGGGACTGTGAAGAGCTTATACTATACTTATATAATTTTTAACTAGACAACTCTTCATCCTCCACAGATAGTAATCATCATATCCTTTCTTCTTCTTGGATTTTCCATTTGCTCTATCCAAGACTAGACATAAAAGCAAAAGCAAACGTAGAGTTTTTAACTACAAAACAATATCTAAGGAAAACTGGAAAAATTTACAGAACAAGTAAATATCAACATGACCCAACACAAAGTTCCAACAACAACAAATACATCTGAAAGCTTAGAAACAACATGGCATAAAATTTATACTTGCATTATCAATGCTGCACTTCAATATATCTCTAACAAAAAGTATACAATTAAAAACTTTTCACATTCCTTTACACCAAAAGCTACACAATTACATCAAGATCTCAAAACTATTGGTCATATAATATATCGTGCTAAAAAATACTTCTCTAATCAAATCCCTCTACCAAATAACATCCAACATCTAATTAATACAATTAATGACAAACATGAATTCTCTATCGAACCACCTCTAAAAGAACTACATAATCTTTTAACATGGGTTACAAATACTAAAATATACTGCAAACACTTTACAATGCATGAAACCTCGAAAATGCACAGCATCTACATACCCATATTAAATCTGCAACCAACAAACGATGTGATCAACTTCTAACACAACCCACTAAAATGATTAATAGCATACATTTTCGGCTTTATTTAACAATAATTGGTTGCGCGTGCACTTTGCAGCACGTGTTCATTACCGTCATACATTAATAATGTCTACATGACCGATTTTACCAACCCATTTTTCGATTTCCTTTTTTGGAAGTGTCTAAAACACAGCAATTAAAAATTAAGGTTAAGGTTAGTTCGAAATTAAGGATATAGCAAGTATTACAGGTAAAATTACTCCCTCGACGTTTTTAATTAGCGCTTCAAGATAGGTTCAGACACTTGTTTCTTGTTTTTTTTTCTTTTTTTTGCTTCGTAAAAATTTACGATGTGATTGGCTAATTTATGCAGATCTTCCAAAAAAGGAAATCGAAAAATGGGTTGGTCAAATCGGTCTGTGACACCTCCGGCAGAGTTTTCGGAAACGAATTTCGGAGTTACACTAGCCACGTGTTCATATGATTTTGACTAAAATTACATTTCAATTTTGGCCAAAATTAAGTAAACACGTGGCTAGTGTCACCTATAATAGATTTTAACCATTAATAAAAAGAGTTTTCGCTCTAATTGTTCAAAATATCCTTCTTTAGACAAATTTCTACAAGCTTTCACCGCGTAATTTTGCAAACATCATCGTTTAAACCAGCTCTAATAGTTCAAAATATCCTTCAGACAAAGTTCTGCAAGCTTTCACGGCTAATTTTATAAAATAACATCGTTTAAACCAGCTCTAATAGTTCAAAATATCCTTCAGACAAAGTTCTGCAAGCTTTCACGGCTAATTTTATAAAATAACCGTTTAAACCAGCTCTAATTGTTTAAAATATCCTTCAGACAAAGTTCTGCAAGCTTTCATATAAAATATCATCGTTTAAACCAGCTCTAATTGTTCAAAATATCCTTCAGACAAAGTTCTGCAAGCTTTCACAGCTAATTTTATAAAATATCATCGTTTAAACCAGCTCTAATTGTTCAAAATATCCTTCAGACAAAGTTCTGCAAGCTTTCACGGCTAATTTTATAAAATATCATCGTTTAAACAAATTCTACTACCTTTTTTTAAACACAAAAAAACAATGGCAGAAAACAAGGAAAATACTCCGATAGAGTAAGTAATCTTGTGTTGTCTTTAAAATTTTTAATTTAAATGTAAGTTAATACATTTATTTTTTTTTATATAGTCTTCATGCCCAATATTTTGATGACAAAACCACCTGGTCTTTGCTCGGATACTTGGAATATTGCAAAGAGAGCAAGATCTTGAGAAATAAACAAACTGAACACTCACAATATATGAGCTACCTTGAAACTCTCGCAAAAAATGAGTCAGAAGAAATAAAAGAAAAGGCACAAAACGCCTTAAAGGTAAGGCTCAAAAAAGAAAACGATAGACTTTCCTAACTGCAAATCATCGAAATTCGAGATGTGTCACATATGAGATGTTAACTTCATGGGAATAATTATGTAATTTCATATATGAACTAAATGTTCATCTTGCAAGAAATCGTATTATTAGCATAAAAATTCTGTGCTAGGTTTTGTCGATCATTGTGGCGCAGATCACTAAACTACGAATCAGATTTCATGAATTAGGTGTAATATAACACGATCAAGAAATTTCAAAACAAACGTTCGTTTTGTCAAAAAAATCGCTTATTTCTTAAATCTGCATAACAAACCACCTTTAATGCTCTACCAAAAAGTTTTCCTTATGCGATTTTTACTATATACTCGCCTAATCTCTAATCCTATTCTAAATGCTAACCCTAACATTAATGAGGCTTAAAAATTTTGCCTGCGCCACAAACCTGGCACAGAATTTTTTCATGCAAGATCATATAATATTAAAGTTCAAATACTTGGCCAAGTATTTGATGAACTCAAAATTTTGAAGAGTCTATACGATATGCAAAATATTTGCTCACAAGAAGAAAACGTATCTCTAATAAATACTTTTATTTTATATTTAGGCATTTAAACATCAGAAAGGAATTAAAGCAGATAAATTCTGGCAAAGGTAATTAAAGTAATATCTTAATATAATTTCAATGTTTATAAGTATTTTATTTTTTATTTAAACTTTTACAAGTCTTGAAGTTGCTTCGGACCAACACTCATCTAGCAAAGCATCTTCAAGTCGAGCACCAAATCAGGATCGGCCAGTAAAAAATTCCCGTTCAAGCAGAAAGAGAAAGGCTCCGTTAAGCTGCCGCCAGGTAATATAGGATTTGTAACATATATACAAATTTTGATCAATGATGGATCAAAATTAAATTTTAATTGGTTTTTATTTTTTTTATAGCAACCGTTTTCATCATATAAAAAGCTGGCGCAGCTTAACAAACTTTTTGGCATTAAGGTTGAAAGGATTGGCGATTTGCCGACGCTAAACCTTTGTAAGTAATATATTAATTAATTTAAGTTAATATATTTGATTTTATTTTGTTTTTTTTGAGCTTTTAATATTTTTTATAGCAACCTTAATGGACACGACACAATTTGAGCCCAAAATAAATTGGATTGCGCAGCAGATCAAGGTTTGTATAGGTTTAATTTTAGTTTGTTTTGAATCATATGTGTAGAGTGAATGAAAGCTAATTATATATATTATTTTAAAGCTGCTGGTGGAAACTTCGCCACATGTAGAAGATCTTAACGAAGTGGAAAGAGGTGAATACATTTCTGCCATCCTTCATGGTGTCACCTCTACCTTCGAAGGACCAAAGGTAGTAGTGCGCAGAGAATATTCTCTATCTGGCACTAATGGTAAAGGTTGATTCGACTTTACCATTATGCAGGGTGAGAATATTCTCTGCGTTATCGAAGCCAAATCTTCAAACGTAGAATATGGCTTGGTGCAAAATTTTGCACAAGTACAGTGCATTTGCGAGGTAAGTATTACCATTTGAGTGTAGTGGTGAATTGATTGTCGGTGAATTGAGTGTCGGCCAATTGATTGTGGGCGAATTGATTGTCAGTGAATTGATTGTGTCAGCGAATTGAGTGTGTATCGGCAAATTGATTGTCAGCGAATTGAGCGTCAGCAAATTGAGTGTCGGTGAATTGAGTGTCGGTGAATTAAGCTTGTTGGCGAATTAAGTGTCGGTAAATGAAGATGTCGGTGAATTGCTTGTCGGTGAAATGCTGTGTCTACGAAATGAGTGCCGGTGAAATAAGGCGGACCGAGGCTATGAAGACTAATGGAAGCCATTGGAAATCAAAATTAAAAAAAATTCTACTGGAATGCTTTTAAAATTTTCTAAACTAATATTCTCTATATCTTATATAGACGAACAAGAAAAGAAAGAATGATGAACTACAATATGCCTATGGCATTGTTACCACCGGCGATAGGTGGTACTTTACCATTGTCTCATCTGACAATGAAATCGGAGCCATCAGCGAATCTATCGATTTGCAGTTGGAAAATTTTCAATTAAATGATAGTTATTTGAATGCCATAAGAACTTTGTTTGCGGTAATTCGGACAATACTTTCCGACATAATGGAAAGTTTTGACGAAGAACCGCAAACAAAGAGACAAAGGCTTCTTCAACTGTTAGGTAATTGAAACAATAATAAACTTACAATTTTTAATTCTGAGTTTGACGCATAAGTAAATTTTGCCAATTAAGGCCATGGGAAGGGCATGATTTATATCAAAATTTCGAAGGCATTTTTTTTTTTTATTAAAACGCAGAAGGCAATTTCATAGACAAAATTTCGAGTTATTGGCGATTTTTTGAAAAAAAATTGCGTGATTTTCACGTTACACCTGATCCTTCGATCTATTTGACTAAAAATCACGTTCCGGAAATTTTTTGTGGACAGGGGTTGGCATAATACTGACATCACAATTAAAATTTAAAGTCTTTAAATATTAATTATCACACCGGGATCATGGTTTCGAGATTTTGGATGTCGGTAGAGCCAACCAAATTTATCAGGCATATTTGACAATAATATAAGACATATAAAACGGGGATCAGTGGTGGTCTAATAGCAATTCTCCAAATACGATTTAATATCCTAGTGTTATCAGCCTAAAAAATTTCACTAGCCAAGCAGGTTTCAAGATCAGGTGTGACGCAGAAGAAACGAAATAAAATAAAACAAACCAAAGAATCGCTTATAACTCAACATTTTGTCTATGAAACCCACTTGCTACACACTAACAAAAAGTTTTCCTTGCGAAATTTTGGTAACAAAAAGCCTTTTCTAACCCAACTTCATAACAAAACTTAACTCTAATCTATTAGCGGAACTTTTTTAACGGAAATTTTTAGATTAGCTAAGAATATTCATAATATGGGAGAATTTTTTTAATTTGGTTATTATTAAACATTAGTGATAATATTTCATAAAACCATTTATGCGATATTGCATGATCTCCGGTAAAATTGAATTGTACTATTGCACTTGATTAGTCAATTGCTTACCCTAACTATAATCCGCTTATGAATCACTTATGAAACCGTTTTATGAAACCACATAATAATTATATATCATCATTGTTTTAATTGGTCAATTGCTTTTCTTAGCTGTAAACTGTTTGAAACTAATCATATTTATAAACCATTTAGAAATCACTACGTATATCAGAATATCACCTAATTTTAATATTCAAAACATTCCCATCAAAAATTTTCTCACATATGTCGCTAATTTGACTGCAAAACTTTTGGCTAACAGTCAGCCGTTTTAGGTCTACCGGCTAATGCCAATATTGCATCGATTGCTTGATGTACATTATATATTTCTTTCAATTATACATCCATTGTGCTGATGTATGCTTCATATTTCTTTCAATTATATATCAATTGTGCTGATGTATGCTTCATATTTCTTTCAATTATATTTCAATTACATTGATGTATGCCATATATCTTCTTAAAGCCATTTAATAAAGTTTTAATGTATAGAGCTATTTTGTGCCGGAATGTCTCCAATTATTATATTACATGCGTGCAGTTCTTTTCGTACCAGGAACGGATACCAGGAACGGAGTTTTCCGTAAGTGAAAACGGAGGGTATGGTTTACAACAATCTTCCAGGATGTACGTCCACAAAATCTTGCATTCGGTTGGATGCCACAGTTGGCTATGTTTTCTAAATATGTAAACACGGGTACTTTCGGGTTTGCAATTTTAATCAAGGTAACCTTTTAAATCGCTACCATGTGACTAAAAGGTGGCAAAATTTTAATTGTTTAGCTTTTTATGGCTTATGGAAATATTATAATGTGCCTACATATTCGCATTTAATTGTGTGTTGTAAAGTTTGAGAGTTCGACTAGCTAACGTGGCCGATATAGCCAATGTGTGACCACGCCACGTTTTACGCAATCATTTATTGACGTTTCTATTTGCATCGCGTTTGCATTAACGAGTTCATCTAATTTACTATTTATTTAATAGATGACGATGTTGATTATGTTACTTTTACTATTTACGTCGCATCATCAAAATTTAATAAAATTACCCTGCTGTCAATGTGTCTAATTGGTCAAGACTAACTTCTTATATAAGTTCATGGCTCAATATTAGTTATCAATACGTGAGTAAATGGTAATTGGCGTTGCTTGTAATTAGTGTTGTTAGGCAAAACCTAGAGGTTTTGCCATTGGCAAAAGTCAAAACTAGTTTCGACTTTTGGCAAAAAAAAATTAAAATGCCAAAACTGGCAAAACTGCTAAAAGGTGAAAAACTGAAAAAAATAATAAAATTAGTAAAAAAAAAAATAACTAGTAAAGAAACAAGAATAGAAAAGTAACTAAAAAAATTTAAAATCTTTTTATCTAATTATCAACTTTTATTCATATTACTACCTAGATAACCTACCTACAGATGCCAAGATTTGAATTTTAGAATAGATATAATTACTACTTATAGCATAGACTTTTACCGAGCGCCGGTCAAAATGCCGACAAGCACAATACTAACAAAAAATCCCAATAGTCAAAATCCCAACAATCAAAAATTCTGACAATCAGAATTTTCAAGTAGAAAATCCAGAATATGAGTACTGTATGTTTAAAACGAAATAGCCTCTTATAATTGAATTATCTTTAGAGTTAGGTCACTTTAGATAAGAATTAGGCTAGAATTAGCTTATTTAATTGTCGGGATTTTTAACAGTCAGTTTTTTGCTGTCGGGATTTTTGCTGTCGGGATTTTTTGTCAGATTATGACCTGTCGGGATTCGCTTGTCAGGATTTTGACCCATAGCCCTTTTACCCAACCTAATATTTAATTTTAACCTAACACAAATTTATTTTGTCACGTATATGTGAATAATCATACTGTATACGATGTTTTTTGATTAATAATCTAAATTTTACTATATATGATCTATCAATAATACAACAATTATTTCCTTAAAGTTAGCTCTGAGATTTAGAATAAAGCATCGGGAAATAATTGTCAATAATAATAATGTTAACAAATTACTTACATATGTATAATATTTAATTAAAATTTTAACAAACAGTTAAAAAGAAAATATCTTAATATTATAACAATAACTTTATTTAAATTCGATAAGTTTATTTTACATGAATAATATTAATACATAGATAGCGCTACTAAAAGAAAACAGGATATCATGCTTTGAATTTTCAAGGCTGAATTTATTTGTTATAAGTTCAAAAACCTGAAGTTTAGTTTTTTTAATAGTACTAGATCGATGTGGCTAATTACTACGCCAATAATCTGCACACTCTGAAATTTTTCCGTTCCTGGTTTTAGCGCAACTGCGTTGCGCAGCTACCTTATTCGTATAAAGCGAATCTTTAGAGTTCATGTTAATCATGTCTGGTTTTAATTATTAATTGTACCCTAAAACGTATCAAAGTATTGAAAATAATGTGATTGAATTATAATCAATTTAGCATAATTTGGATTCAAATTTATCAACATTAGTAACATTATTTATTTAATTCGGCCAGCAATTTATAACCATCATATAAATGATTGTTTATAGATGTGATATAATTCAAATAGAGGTTTTTGGTCTCGATGCGATTAACGTAACGTTATCATTTATTCTAGGAACATAAAATCACTAAAAGTGTAGGCGTAACCGTGATGTGACAAGTAAAATTATATAGCGAGATTTTAACACTAAAATGATATGTAAGTTGACTTTTTTAGATTAATCATGCCATTTCTAAA